TGGGTGTGTGCCAGATACATTTTAAAAATAACTTTTCAGTGACAATATAGACATCACAGACATGAGCCCGATACTGGCATCTCAAGGGTAGAGCCTGAGAAATGTTTAAATACCCGCATGCTCACTGCAGTGGTGTGCAGGTGGTCTGTCCCCCAGGGGTCACGTCCTGGAGGCTCAGTCCCCATGGCGGTGGCGTTGCGATGGCCCCTTTGAGTTGGGCCTATTCCAGGTTGCAGAGGTGCTGCCCTGGGAAGTGGTGCATACTGGTCTCGGTGAGAAACTTAGCTCTTAAAAGAACAGTTTGTTGTAAGAACTGTCTCCCTTCCTACATCCCACCATGGTGAACTGCCACATGGGCTCCCACCAGGATCCTGCACCTCCTAGCTACTAAAAAGACCAAATAAACCTCCTTCCTTACAAAGTACCCAGCCACAGGTATGGTGTCACAACGCCATAGCACTGAGGCAGGAGCCGGCCTTTCCAAGACCAGGAAAACTTCTGCAGGCCCCTTCCCAGTTAGTACCTGCTCTCCCAAGTAGCCCCTACTCTGATTTCAATTACTGTTGTTTAATTTTGCCTGTTTTGAGGCTTTACATGCAGCATACTCATGGTTTTTGTTCAGTCAAAATACCCTGTTGTGTTTTGCATGTAACCAGTTTATCTTTTCCATTGCCCTATAGCATTTCATTGAATGGCTTTACCATGATGTATTTCTCATTTCCCCTGCTCTCTTGCTGAGGGACATCTGGGTTGAGGGACAAACGGTTGCCCCCTTGGGGTTTCTATGAGCTCAGCTGCTCTGAACACCCTTGTGGGTGTGCGTCTTTGCACACCTCTGTGCTCAGGACTGAGAGCAGCAGAGAGGAAGACCTGCCCCATGTGAGGAAGCTGGGACTCATGGTCTGCGATGCTTGCTGGGTTCGTCCCAAGATCTGAGACCTGAGGTCAGAATTACATTTAGACCACCTTCTAAGAGCACCGAGTTTGAGCCCTGGTACCAAAAAAATAAATAAATAAATAAAAAAGAATTACATCTGGATCTGTGACGTCCGTGGGGTCCCTTCCTGAGCTTTTGCCCTGGAAGCTTGAGGTTCAAGATGTTCAGTCACATACCTGTATCTGGCTCATTCACAGAGGAATAAAAGAAACCCCTGAACACACTCAATCAGACAGTAGTATTCTGTAGCAGATTTTGTTATTCTCCTTGGCTATCACATCCAAATCCTTTCACACTCTGGAGAGTCCCCCAGTGGATCCTGGGGGAGGCCCAGCTGAGCCGCTGCAGTGAAGGAGCCCCTCACTACCCCAGGGCCATCAGACTCGGCAGGGGCCAGGTCCCTTCCGTTCCCAGGTGGCCTGAATGCTGTGAGTGGAGGTGTACAGGCTCCAGCATCCAAGGGGCAGGGCTGCTGGGTGCTAGGTACAGAGGGTGGAACAGCAGGAAACTGCTCCCAGGAGGGTCTGCAGGTGTGATTTTGGACACTGTTCCTGCTGCACAGTTTGGAACCCGACTCTAGCCCACACGAGGTATGAACAAACTTCTTCTTGAACCAGCCAACTGGCTTCTGTGGATTAGAACTAACATCTTTGCTTGGTGTGGATGCAAGGATTTCCACCAGAATTCCCCTGTGACGAAATACAGACATTTACTGTTTTAATTGCTAGCATGTGTCTAGTGAAAACGGAGACCTTCAATGTTGCTTATAGTCCAAATTATCTTGGTAAATGCCTATTATGGGTCAAACATCTTGGCAATAACTTTAGTTCTTCCAAAGCATTTAAACGATAGGCAGAATTTTTTTTTTTTTTTTTTTTTTTTTTTTTTTTT